AGTATTCCTAGGTTAACCGGACTTTTTTATGATCGTATAGACAAGATTATAGCATGTAGTTTACTAATGACCATATTTATTTAACAAATGGAAGAAAACCTGGTCCACCGAGCAGCAAAGCAATACAGGAACATGTATTTATAGATAAATGTTAACTGAACCTTTTATAATATCTAAGATTAAAAAACTATAACAACTTATACTGTGTTTGCATAATTATACTAATGTGTTTGTCTCAGTAATGAATGAAGAACAGTCATTTGGAACTGACCTCTAATTGCAATTATAAACCTCCTTCTCGGTTTATAACTCTAACTAAATCGGTCAAATACCGTCAACATTTTTTGTCTGAATGGTGTAAGTTTTCGCCTTTTAAAACTTCAGGCCAGAAATTTGTACTTTAAATTCACTAAATTAAGGAATTAACAAATAGATAAGATTTTGCCGTTGTCTGTTCAGTTATAGCTGTGGTTATATAGGCTAGATATGTGCTAGATACACAGTATGACGTCATAATGTGGGAAGAACACAATGTTGGTAATTTTGTTCACTAATTTGCCTTTTATGCAGTGATCAGGAATCTTCATATTACTGTCTTACTCTGATCGATTCTGGGAGGACTTAGCACCCCCCCTACTTTTATTTCTGGAGGGTTATAATCCCCTAGCCCCCATGTTCCGACGCCACTCCTGCGCATACCTACATAGACGTACAGACTAGGTTTGAGTCTGCACTCCCTGAAAAAGAAGACACTTCCACGTTTCGAGAGAATTTAAGGTCGTTCGTCTGCAAGGCTGTAAGTCACTAACTTCCAGGTTCAATAAAAGTGTTTTTTTCTTTTCCGACCACAATCACCGCCGCTTATTGTGGAATACTGCACGCCTACACCCTCACCTCACCTTTCCTCCAGGATCAAGCTAAACAATGTGAGGTACCCATCCTTTACTCAACTTCTGATTGCTATAGGTATAGAAGATATTTGTAATCGATTAAACACAATGCATGCATGCATGGTACCGTAGCTAGACGCGATAATTGTGTGTGTGTGTGTGTGTGTGGGGGGGGGGGGTATATTCATATATTTACATACCGTAAAAACAATCGCTTTCAAAAGAAATATGTCGGGCAGAACACGAATATATGAATATGCACCCCCCCTCCCCCCAATTATCGGTCTAGCTACGGCCCTGCTCGTCAATTCTTATGAACGTGTTTCACTAGTCTTAGACTAAGTTACGAAACAGACTGTACTATAAATGGTTGTATTTTATTCGTGAGATTACATCACTATAGACGTAGTGTCGAAACTGCTGTCAAAATTGAAATACTTTAGTCATTTAGTGCCATTAGACCCTGCATGAAAATTTTTGTCCCCCCTAATAAAATTTATCAAGAAAATTTAGCACTGTCTTAATTCGTTAAATTATGCATATTGTTGATGATGACTTTATTTAATCACGCTAAATAACTTTATTTAACCACGCTGGTTTCCACAATGGGCATGTAAAACTTTCGTGTTCACTTTCAACTGTTGCATATAGGTTCCAATTCAGTGATAAACAGTTGGGACAGTTCCATTCAATATTGGTGTAGTAACAAACTCGACATAACATGAGGATGATGTCAAACACGGTGCTTTATCCATCTCTAAGACTACAATATCATTAGGAGTATAATTACGAAGGATATTTGCTGGAACATATAAAGTTATTTGAGGACCTTCAACTGGCCAATAACGTCCAAGATTGAAGCCATTAATATAGACTTGACCCTGAAACATAAAATACAGGTCTTAGTTGCACGTTATGAGCGTTCAACATCATGATCATCACCAAATTATATTAAACAGTTTATCTGCATGTAACGAGTATATGTATATATAATTGCTTTGTTGTTTTCTTTTCCTTCAGCAACCATGACAGCATACACATGTACAAACATAGACTTTATTTTCTCACGCTGGCCCCAACAACCTTTCAGCGGCTGATTTCCATCATCCATGGGGGGGGGGGGCGTGAACATATAAGCTATTTACAAAATATTAAAAAGGAGAGTTTGACAAAAAAAAACAAAGAAAAGACACTGTTAGCTACATTACTAAATTGCATGGCTAACGAGCCTGTTTCAACTCATTTTTGTTTCGTTTTGAAAGACCTTAACGAATCCGCAATTTTTGCCTCGTGGGGAAGATTATTCCAATGTGAGGCTCCTTTATAATTGAAGCACCTCTTGCCGAATTGTTTCTTCGAATTAGGAAGAGCTAATAAATCAGTTTCTTTATTTCTAAGATTGTAAGTATTTGCTCTTTCCTTATATTGGAAAGAAAAACTTGTTTTACTGTAGTTTGGGTGCGGTGTGGTAATTTAGAATTTTATACATAAAACAATCTCGTACCCAGAGTACTCTGCCTCTGAGTACGAAATTGAGATAAATAGCTTTTAAAGTAATTTCGTCTTACTTCTAGATGTTTCCAATTTGAGTTTCTAAGTAAGTCCAGTGCCTTTTTTAACTATATATCTGGGGGGCAATTGCCCCCCAGGGAAAGAATTTGCCTCCCCAGTAAAGCCATTTCTGCCCCCGAAGTGCGAAGCAGAATTGCTCATGATTTCCGTCAGAATTGCAGTTGATTTACTTGATAATGAGATTATGCCCTTCAATAGCCTCCTCCACAGCCATCTTGTGTGTAATTCATATTGTTCTTCATCGAGTATTTCATAATAGCGATAGATTTCATGCAAACAATCCAATAAAATGCTAGCCTTTCTAAGCCTTGCGACTATTTCCTAGCACTCTCCTCCACAGGCGCGTTGTGTTTTGTTTTGGGAGGTTTTATTGCAAAATTTTTTTCTTAAAAAATATCAAGTTATATTAAGAGCCCCCCCCCCAATCGCCACAAAAACCATTCTCTCAGAAAGGCTAAATCCTTAGAGAAATTGGGGGTGGGGGTGGGGGGGGGGTGGTACACGTTACATGCTCGAAGCTGAAACTGATTAAGTACGTCTCGACTGAGGAAAAAGAGGATATACTGGAGGAACTTGATTTGTGAAATCTCGTTAAAGCAGTTGTAGATATGGTTCCAAGAAGTGAATAGATTTAGTTTACATTTTTAATTGTTAAATACATGTATGCATCATCATAGCATGAATATTTCTTCTCAGACTTATTCTGTATCGTATGAAAAAGCAACGCAATTTTGAGAATGCGGAAATGGTGTCTCATAGAACCTAAAATGATTTAAATGCAACATTTCTGATCAAAAGCACATTGGGATTCCCCCCCCCCCCAGCATCACAGAGAGGAAATAAGGTGACACTGACCCCTCCTCCTATTTTTCAAGGTGACTTTTCCAATTTATTTAATTCCGAGTAGAAATGTCTGGAAAAATTCATGTCTTCGACGTACTTTATAATCTTCGGAACTCTTCGGAATTTCACTCCTAAAATGCTTGAAATCGCAATTCAGGGACCCTAGATTTCACCCTCCTAAGGCGAGGTTCGCTCCCCCCCAAAAAAAAGAATTAAGGTCTGGTTACGCCACTGGTTCAATTCAATTTAAATCAATAGCTGTTACAGTTGTACGATTATAGCTACAAAGAGTTGAAGTTATTGTTTATATAGGTGAAGTTAATAAATTAAAGTTTTACAAAATCTCTCTTCAGACTCACGTGTTCGCCAAACCTCGACAGCTCATATTTTTCGTTCTGCCTTTTTTTCCTGTTTTGCCCCCCCCCCCCCAGTGAAAATTCCTTAAAAAAGGCACTGAGTAAGTCAGCGGATCGATGATGAACATCGTATGTTATCGTTAATAGTACATAACTTAACTACAGTTGGACAACGTGGCAAACAAATACTAATAGAGAGCATGCATGTCATTAATTAAATAATGTCGTTTATTATTGCTAGTCATATTGCAAGTTGCAATTTTACTAAAATATTGAAACAACCCATTTTAGCAATGGTTAACTTATCGTTATCCGCAAATATGGTGTACGTGGCATAGCATTGAGCTGGATAAAAAGTTACTTTTCTGACCGAAAACAATTTGTTCAGTTTAATAACTCATGGTCTGCCTTTAAATCTATAACCTGTGGAGTTCCACAGGGATCCATTTTAGGGCCACTGATGTTTTTGATATATATCAACGACATATGTTATGTTTCTGATGTTACAAAACTAATCCTTTTTGCTGACGATACGAACTTGTTCTTTTCGCATATAAACCCAGTGCACTTGGTTAATGTGACAAACGGAGAGCTACAAAAATTTTCGATTTGGCTCAGAGCGAACAAATTGTCTTTAAATCTTGATAAAACAAAATTTATGATATTCAAACCTAGACAATAAAATCAACAAACAAACTTTAAAATAGTACTTAATAACAGAGAGCTCATTCAAACAAATGAAATTGTTTTCTTAGGTGTCATTCTAGACAGGGCCGTAGCGAGGGGGTATTGGGGGGGGGGGAGGGGGTTAACCCCCGAACTTTTGTAGAATTAACATATTCGAAAAATCGGGTCGGCCATTCGGAAAATTACGGCAATAATAGTATATTTAATTAATTTACGAAATCGCGGCATTTACATGGATAACGTAAAACAAATCGTAAATCGGAAAATGTCTTTCGGTTTATTACTTCTCAGGGCCGTAGCAGTCGGGGGGAGGGGGGGGGACTGGGGGCAGCAGCCCTTACAATAATTTGCTGATAATCATTCTTTTTTCAAAATCATGCACACCTTTATCATTTAAATAATATACCGTTAAAATACTGACAATAGACTAGAGGTGTGCATCGGATCGGATTGGACGTTTATAATCCGACAATTGCCTAATGTTTAAAATCCGATCTGAAATTGTCTAATCCGAATCCGGTCCGAGTTTTGAAAAAGAATTCCAATCCGATCCGATGAATTCTTTAATAAAATAAATTTCTCATTCAAGTTGAAATATTTAACCAAATAAATATAAAAGCAAGAAATACATGTCAAGAAGCTGACTACAAAGTGACGTCCAATTGAAGTATCAAACGAATAATGTGAACGAAAACCGCGATGATATTTTGATAAATGTATGGATAATTAATTCTTGCGATAATTCATGGATAATTAATTCATTTTATTTCGGATATCGAAGTCCGATCCGACTATGAAACAATTTTATCAATCCGATCCGAAATTTACATTTTGGTTCCGAAATCCGAACGAATCCGATCGGATTTGGATCGGATTTGCACACCTCTACAATAGACCTTAATTTCCCCATTTGAGTGAAATTTTGATCTAGACAAGCCTGGACAAAAATTTCACCACAGCTTTAAAGAGCATCACAAAATTAGTAATATTCCGAAGTGTCGTTGAATGTTGTAAAATGCGGATAATATAGCCTTGTGAAGTTTGCCGTATTTCAGTCATTTTGCATTACAAACGGGAAATTGATAATCAGATGATCAAACTGATTATCAATTTCCATTTGTAATACAATGACTGAAAAACGGCAAACTTCGCAATGCTATATTATCCGCATTTTACAACATTTCGCAACGAAACTTCGGAATATTACTAATTTTGTGATGCTCTTTCAAGCTGTGATGAAATTTTTGTTTAGGCTTGTCTACATCAAAATTTCACTCATAAGGGGAAAGGTCTATTGATTAATTTTAAGCGGCTACATTATCCATGACAAACCGCAAAGAATCATATTACTTATACTCTTTCCTGCAATATATAGTTAATAATTAAATACGCCTTCGCCCATTTAGTTCTAGTAAATTGTAAGCAAATTGTAAATTTCGACATACTAAAACTCTATTAACAACTCGAACCGACTTGACCACGTAGCTCAGTTGGCAGAGCATTGGACTAGTATCCCAAAGGTCGCGGGTTTGACTCCCACCGTGGCCAAGCAAACTTTTCAGCTTGCCCGCTGTGGATGCATACTCAGAGTAACGTCACAAATATCATACTAAAACTCCGCTTTCTGACCAATCAGAATTCTGTCAAAACTTGCCCAAAGTCCAGGAAATGGCATTTCAGAGAATCTAAATTTAAAAATTTCCTCGGGCCTTCGGCTCTCGTTCCCAGCCCCAATAAAAAAGAGCTTCCTACGGCACTGCATGCTTCTGTAATATGTCTTTGCGTAAACTATGCGTATTTTTGTTTGTAAATTGCATCTTCATTTTCCGGATAGCAAACACCTAAAGTGGCTTCGTATGCCATGAAATATTCGGAAATTTTCTTCGTCATTCGGAAATTTTTGGCCCCCCCCCAACTATACATGCTAGCTACGGGCATGCCATTTATTTGAAGCATGGTGCATCATGAACATGACACGTTCTCTAGTCAATGAGATCCACTGCTGTAACTAATTGTAACTAACAACCACTAAAATGCCCCTCCGCTAAACTACAATCCTCGACAAAGGTTTTTGATTGTATAGTTTTATTAAATATTACACTCTAAAAAATCTCTGGTGGAAATTTTGCTTGTTAGCCTAGAAATAACCCTATAGCCATGCAGGGCCTCCTGGTTATTAATCCACCTAACATAGTCTGGACGTCTGGTTTGAATTAAATTAACTAGGCAATCAGGAAAAAGGTTAAAATAACCAGGAAAATTGATCAGGAATATTAAGTTAACCCAAATAGGGCTATTTCTAGGTTAACCAGGAGGTTCAACTAGACGGTTTTAGAGCGTAAAAATTAGAAGTATATAATGGATAAAAACTCACATCGTGATGATCACGATTTTGACTATATATAGGAGTATAGCGCACGGGTTATATTTAGATCCGACTTCTCTGTGTTGACTATGGTTACGTTTACACTTGTACAGGATAGCTTTCCGTAGAGACGTGAAAAACATCTATCCGTGCCTTTTCGGAACGCTATTTCAGAGGAATTATTGCAACGGAGAGATGTTGTTTCGCTCAGTTTCTGAAAGTTGTACATTGCGTATCGGACAGGTGTTTTTTCGCGCCGCCACGGAAAACTATCCGGTATAGTGTAAACGTAACCTATATATCACTGCCTCTCACAGGCGGCCCGACTATATGGCCTATTATTTACTAGTTGAGTCGGTTTTCTTTGATGTACCGCGGGATGTATACAGGTTATAACCCGTGAATAAATAATTAGATTATTAATGTCTACAAAACTCGAAAAATCTTGATCGAAAGTCTTTGAAATTGACGAAACCTTGTTGGAAAACCTCTTCAACTACCAAGAACTTCAAATGCGAACTTGAGATATAGTCCTATATTTGCCCCTGGGTTAAGGGTTAAATATATTAGTTATATTCTCGGTTTATAACGCATACTTATATCAGTACAATATATATGCATACATAACCCCATACATTTATATCAACGCGGTCAGTCCGAAAAACACGCGATGTGCATTCGTGTTTAATTAAAATGCATGATGTACGACAGACTAAACTATTTGACAGGCTATTCGTAATCTAGCTATAAGTAAGGCAGAACTTCATTACTGAAGGTTACTTTGGTAAGAAGTTTGTTATTGAATAATGTACGACGTGCTTTATGCTAATTAGGTCTGTTTCGTCATTGTTTCCAAGTGCTACAACGCGCTTGAACAAGTGGCTTGAACATCTTCCAAATTCCATTACGGAAACCTTTTTACATCATTCGGAGGGGGCATATATACTAAGATGCCGTTTATACAATGCGCTTTAATTTTATCAGAACGACACATGTTTTCGCCAAAAACGCATTCGTATAATCGCATTCAAAATACACGCAAGAGTAAAGCAACAATGAAACATTTTTAAAAACACATGCACACATGCATTAATGTATGTTTACAAGGCTATCCAGCCTATTCCGGGTTTGCGGAGTTAAAATAGCCAGAAACATGAGAATACAACGCCTTTCCTCTGTACTTGCAGGTGTAGATAT